CCTGAATGAGGACACCACCTTTTTGCCCTTCTCAAGGGAGGAACTAGGTATGGACTACTCGTGCTTGCCAGTTCTCTGCATGCTCTTGTGGTGGGCCAGGTACAGAGTTAAAAAGGACAGTCTGCCTTTTTTCTCCGTGGGCAAGAAGTGTGTTTGTGCTCTGGTACCACGGCCCAGCCAGTGTGCAGGAATGTGAGCACTGGGATTGCTCTGGCGAAGGAGCAAAAGCTTGTTTCTGTGTACAGACCTGATATTTTGGGGAAAGATCTGGGCTCTTTGTCATTTGTCTGCTCTTTTCTCAGGGGGACTCCCTGAGGACTTCTTGAACTCTCTGGAGAAGACGGAGGATGGCAAGCTGAAAGTCACCTTGAAATACCCACACTATTTCCCTCTCTTGAAGAAGTGCTACGTGCCTGAGACAAGGAGGAAGGTGGAGGAGATGTTCAACTCGAGGTGCAAAGAGGTAGGTGGCCTCACTGCTAGCCAGCAGGGCCAGGAGGAGTGAATGCCAGTTAGGATCTTCCATGGTCAACTCATTCTTCCTTTCTTGTGTACCTACTTCGTGCTGAGCTGTGTGCCTTTGCATTGCAGGAGAACTGCTTGATCCTCAAGGAGCTGGTGGACTTGCGGGCTCAGAAAGCCAGTCTGCTGGGCTTCAGCACGCATGCTGATTTTGTGCTGGAGATGAACATGGCTAAAAGCAGCAAGACAGTGGCTACTTTCCTGGGTATGGCCCCTGGTTGTGGGGTGGAGGGGGGGGAATGGGGCACTGCTGGGCCGAGTGTGCTGTTCTCACTAATGCTGCCTCCTGAACTTTCTTAGATGAGCTGGCCCAGAAGCTGAAACCCCTTGGGGAAAAGGAACGGGCAGTGATCCTGGACCTGAAAAAGAAAGAATGTGAGAAGCGAGGCCTGGAGTTTGACAACCGCATCAATGCCTGGGACATGCGCTACTACATGAATCAGGTGGAGGAAACCAAGTACAGCGTGGACCAGAATCTGCTGAAGGAGTACTTCCCCATGCAGGTGGTCACCACGGGCCTGCTGGCTATTTACCAAGAGCTGCTGGGGCTCACTTTCCATCTAGAAGAGAAGGCTCAGGTGTGGCACGAGGACGTCCAGCTCTACACAGTGAAGGACACCTCCTCTGGGGAGACCATTGGCAAATTCTACCTGGATCTGTACCCACGGTGAGACTCGGGGCAAACCAGATTGAGGGATGAGGGGCAGTGGGAGCAGAGTCTGCTGTGTGCCTAAGAAGGAGACATCCCTCTCCCCCACCACGTGGCTGTGGCAGAGCTGTCCTGGGGGCACTGGGTTTGTGTGAGCTGCAGCATTGCTGGGGCTGCTGAGCAAACCTCAGTGCCCTGTTTGGTGGCTCGTGGCTGGCAGCCTGGGAGCATCAGACAAACAAACTCCTCTTCTTCACCCAGGGAAGGGAAGTATGGGCACGCAGCCTGCTTCGGCCTGCAGCCAGGTTGCCTCCTTCCAGACTCCAGCAGGCAGATCTCGGTGGCTGCCATGGTGGCCAATTTCACCAAGCCCACACCAGATGCACCCTCCTTGCTGCAGCACGATGAAGTGGAGACCTATTTCCATGAATTCGGGCATGTCATGCACCAGCTGTGCTCTCAGGTGAGGTCTGGCTTGGTTGGCAAAGGTGTGGTTTGTTACCTTTCCCCCCCCTTGTGCTCTCATGTAGGGTTATGTTCCACTTGGAGATGTGGTTGACTGTCTGGATTTGTCTCCTAGGCGGAGTTTGCCATGTTCAGTGGGACACACGTGGAAAGGGATTTTGTTGAGGCACCATCACAGATGCTGGAGAATTGGGTGTGGGAGAAGGAGCCTTTGCTGCGCATGTCCAGACATTACAAAACAGGAAACCCCATTCCTGATGAACTGCTGGAGAAGCTCATTAAATCCCGGCAAGCAAACACGGGTAGGTGCTGAAGAGGGAAGTGGGAGTTAGGAATAGAGGGTTGTGTGCTATTCCCAGTGAGGACAAGAGTCTTGCTGGAATGTCAGCTGTTGCATATGGGGCAGGGAAGGGGACCGTTGGTGACCTGGCTGGTCAGGATGGTTAGATGAAAGGCTTTGTCTTGTTGCCTGTTGGTACTGAGAGGCCTGGGAGGAAGGAATCACATCTGTGGGGAGAGCTGTGGGAGCCCCCAAGCCTCAGTTCTCCTCCTCTCCCTGGGAACAGGGCTGTTCAACTTGCGTCAGATCGTCCTGGCCAAGGTGGACCAGGCGCTGCACACCCAGACGAAGGCTGACCCTGTGGAAGTGTTTGCACAGCTCTGTGAAGAGGTGCTGGGTGTCCCTGCTACCCCAGGTAAGCAGGGCTCCTGCTGGGGGTCCCAGTCGTGCTGTTTCTGCGGGTTTGGTTCTGCATGTTCCTTTCTGGGATGGGGCTTCAGGCTGGCTTGGAGGGGATGGTTTCCACTGACTCCAGGAAAAGCAGGGCAGAAACCATACAGAAAATAAAGGGAAATTCCATCCCTGTTTCCCCTGCGATTGTGAACAGGCTGATACAGTGCCTGCTCTGACACATTTACAGCATGGAGGGCTTTTTCCATGAACGATTCCTGCAACCTTTCCAGTTAACCCTTCCCTTCCTTTGCTGTGAAGGTACGAACATGCCAGCTACGTTTGGCCACTTGGCTGGAGGCTACGATGCCCAGTACTATGGCTACCTCTGGAGTGAAGTGTACTCCATGGACATGTTCCACACACGCTTCAAGCAGGAGGGGATCATGAACTGCAAGGTAGGGAGGATGTCCTGCATGGCCAAACTCAGGGGGAAGGAGGCGGTAGGAGGCACTGCAGTGAGGTCAGCAGGGAGTGGGTGTCCTGCATGCACTCCCATCTCTCTCCTTGCAGGTGGGCATGGATTATAGGAATTGTATCCTGCACCCTGGTGGGTCCCTGGATGCTTCTGACATGCTGAGGAAGTTCTTGGGCCGTGAGCCCAAGCAGGATGCCTTCCTGGCCAGCAAAGGACTGAAGGTGGAGAGCAACTCGCTGCCTTCAGCCTGCTAAGAAGCTGCTCCAGCCCGTTTGAGTCAAGCCAGCTCCTTTGCCTACTCACCAGTCCTCTCAGGCCCAGCGATACCCAGTACTTCAGCACATCCTGGGCCCGCCCCATTGGAGCTGTTCCTCCAGGATCCTGCTCTGAGCCCATCTGGGCATTCAGAGCTGGGTTTGGTCCGGGTCCTGGGCTCTGCAGTGACAGCTCTGTGTAGGAAATTGAATCCCCTTTGTCACTCCCCAAAAAGGGGATGGGGCTGTCACTAGCCACAACAGTTAGCTGAACTTTGTACCTGATTTCTGCAGAAGGGTGAGTTTTAGTCTCATTGTTAGCTGGGGAGGAGGGTGAGAATCTAGCAAACTTGAACCATTGTTTTAAAATCCCTTCGTTATGAGACTTCCCATAGGGCTTGACTTGTTTTGTGACCAGGGTAGCCTTACTGTTGAGCACAAAACAAACAGCCTGAGGAGTTTTATTAGGAATCCTGCTCTCCCCATCTTTGGGCAGCTGTGGAATAAACATAGGAAGATCTTGGTGCTTAAAAACCAACGTGTTTGCCAGAATGTCCCGTCCTGAGCTGCTGCAGTGCTGCTGCTTGGGCAAAGGGCTCAGGGGGCTGGGGTGTGTGGTGGGGCAGAGACCAGGACCTCATGCCTGGGGTCATCCTGGGGCAGCTGCTGCCCTCGGGGCTCAGGTCATAGCAGCAGGGTGTGTTGCTGTTGGTGTCAGCTCCTAAGCCAGGGTGGGACAGGGGAGGGCCATGGAAAAAAGCAGGCTGCTTCAAACAGCACAGATGCTTGGGATAAAAATATCAAGTGGGCCTGGAGCCAGGGGAGAGCCTGGGAGCGGCCGGGCTCTGGGGGACAGCAGCCAGCCCTTCGCCTGGCCTTGAGAGCAGTGTGGCCCTGAGAAGGCCCCATGGCAGTGCCCACATGTCATGGGGTGGAAGTAGGCGCCCTCTGGGAGAGCAGAGGTCCTGACTGTGGTTTGCTCCTGCTATGGTGAGTGGTTTTCCCTGCTCTGGCTGTGAGGTTGCTCAGAGCCAGGCAGTGAGCCCTGCAGCTCCTCTGCTGTTGGAGCTCACGCTGCTGACCCCAGCTGCTCCCTGTGCTTCTCCCCTGGTCCCCAAGCTTCCAGCTGAGCTGCTTCACCCCCTGGGATGGAAGCTGGCCCAGCTGCTGATGAGAAGCATGCACTGCGTGCAGACAAAACCACTGCTGTCACCTTCCTGCCCCAATCCCAGTGAGACGAGGGCCACTGCCATCCTCCCTCACCCAGTGGATGGGTCCCTGAGCTCCTCGGTGCTCCTCGCTGGGGCCAGGTAGGCATCCTTTTTTCCCCCCCCACTCTGTTTTAGGCATAGGTGAGTGTCTGTCCCAGGTGCTGGCAGCACAGGGCTGGGTGTGCTCAATTTGATGCTGTGAGTGTTTATAACTGTCACGTTTTACTGAGCTTTCAGGCTTTTCTTCTGCCCTTTTCTCTCGAAGGGGAGAACTGGGCAGGGAAAACGTGCACTTTCCTCCCTCCTTCCCGTATAACTTTGTCCCTCCTTCCACTTACTCGTGCTGATGTGTGCGGTGAGAGGTGCTGCTCGTAGGGCTGACCCAAGGCATGGTGCTGTCTTGCACCAGGCTCCCTGCAGCTGCACCTTGTCCCTCCGCCCCCCACCAGGGAAGAGAGATCCCGTTTGTGGGTTTTCTTGTTTCATTTTTGTTAACCTTCTTGAAGGGCAAACCGGTGTGTGTGTGCCGTTTGTAATGGTCACGTCCCTCCCTGCTTGTTTCAGTGACTGGATTTTAGATGATTCCTAGCACTAATAAAGATTTTTCCCATGCGGACGTCAGCGTGGTTCAGGTCTGGGTGAGGAAGCTGCTCCTTCTGCTGCTGGAGGTGGCTGCAGCACGGCGCTCGTGGCACAGCCATCCCCACAGCAGGCTGAGGATGGGCACGGTGTGGCAGGCGTGGGGTGGCAGCGTGGCTGGTGTGAAGCCCTGTGCAGAGACAGGCAGTGACTCCCCGCGTGCCTGCATGGACGTGGCTGCTCCCCCACCTCCACGCACACCCACCTGGCTGAAGAAGCTGTGATCCAGCACATCCTGCAGGTTGGGTCGTGCCGTGGGCTCGGGGGCCAGCAGTTGTGTGAGGAGAGCTTGTGCCCGGGCTGAGAGGCAGCTGGGCAGGGGATACTGCACTGCACGGATGCGCTGGTACAGCTCCTGCCGCTCTGCTGCTCCAAAAGGTGGGCTGCCTGTCAGCACCGTGTACCTGGGGGGTTTGGGTGCTCAGCATGGCCGTGGCCATCCCCTGCCAGCCCACCTGCTGGGCCACCACTTACATGACGCAGCCCAGTGCCCACACATCAGAGGGCAGCCCGTGGCCCTTGCGCTCCAGCACCTCTGGGGCTAAATATCCTGGCGTGCCACAGAGCGCCCTGCATGGAGGGCACAGTGAGCTCCATGCTGGTACCCCGAGGGATGGGGTGCCATGGCTGCGCTCACCCCCAGTGCTGCCTGCCTCCTGCCACCACCCGTGCCAGCCCCAGGTCCCCGATCTTCACCTGCATCTCCTCGGTCACCAGCAGGTTACCTGCAAGGGGACATCAGCCTGAGTGCAGCCACAGCTCTCCCACACCCTCCCTCCCACACCCTGCCTACTTGGCTTGATGTCCCGGTGCACAATGCTGTGCCCGTGGAGGAAGCACAGCCCGGCGATCACCTGCTGCAGGTAGTACCTCACCTCCGGCTCCGTCAGCACCCCTCGAGCCCGCAGGATGTCAGCAATGGACTGGGGCAGGGCAGAGAGGGGGATCAGAGCACAGCACAACCCCGGTGCTGACCCCACATCCCCGCCAGCCCCGCTCACCCCGCGCCCGCAGTGCTCCAGCAGCAGGTAGAGGTGGCTGTGGGTGCTGAAGTGCCCGTGCAGCCGGACGACGTGGCGGTGGCACAGGCGGCTGTGCAGCTCCAATTCATGCTCCACCTGCATTGGGGTGAACCCAGAGCCTGGCAACCCCCAGGGACCACCCCCCCACTTTCTCTCAGGGAGATGGGGATGGGAAGCAACATGGGACAGGAGGAGGAAGGGCTGCAGGCATTGCTCCCCCCTCCCTGGGGTCCCCCCTGACTCACCCTCTCCCTGGTTCCTGGCATGGAGAGCCGGGCCCGTGGGATCACCTTTGCAGCGTAGACCCTTCCAGTGGCCAACTCCATCAGCTGATAGCAGCTCCCAAAAGCACCCTGAGGGGACAGCAGGATGGATCCCCAAGGGTTGGGACTGTAGGTTGGGGTCGGAGCATGGGGGATTTCCTGGTGCTGCCCTGTGCTCTGCTCTGCCTCCATCCTTGTTCTGTCTGCGCTGGTTTCCCCATGGAAAGGGGGAGTCCTGGCTGGAACTGCCTGGAGGCAGGATGGGGTTGGACATTTACCTCCCCCAGCAGCCATCCCCGCTGGTAGAGTGCCCCGCTGCCCTCGTTCTGGATGTAGCTGTCGGGCAGCTCACCCTGTGCCATCCTGCTGCACTGTGCTCTGTGTTGGAATGCTTCACAATCACCTGCACCTGGCTTCCCCCCTCCTCCCCCCCCACCCCCCCATGCTGTAACTGCTTCACCTCCAGGCTGTCCCTACCCTGGGTGCTGTGATGCTGTGGGTCCAGGGGGGGGCACAGCCCTGTGGGGGGAGATCCCACCTCCCTGGGCTGCTGGGTGGGGATGGAGCCCATAGCAATGTACCTAGAGTCTGGGGGATGCTGTGACCCCCTCCATCTGCCTGCCTTCCCAGCTATACTGGGTTCCCCAGCACCCAAAGACCCCCCCTGATCCCTCCAGAAGGTCCCTCTGTAGCTGCTGGGACCCAGCCCTCAAGATGCTGGGGAAGGATGGGGCTGGGTGTAGGGGGGAGTCTTATCTGCCTCTCCTTCCCCTTGGGCAGGACTGGGTTCCAGGGATCCCAATTGCAGCGGGGGGG